TTAACTTTAGTATTATTTTATAAATATGAACAGCAGATGGATAAAATTTCTGCCGCCTACATTTTTTAACTCCAAGCGTTTTGGTTCTTGCTGAACAGTAGAGGGATAACATTGGAAGACAGAAATACGTCCAAAATGCACTGTAGTACCTTAGCATGGAAGAAACATAGTATTTTCCACCGCCTTTGACCGCCCACTTTTTTGCATCGCCATTCACCGCCTACATTTTTTTACTCCCAGTTTTTTTCCCTGAATGAACAGTAGATGGATAAAATTTCTGCCGCCTACATTTTTTAACTCCAAGCGTTTTGGTTCTTGCTGAACAGTAGAGGGATAACATTGGAAGACAGAAATACGTCCAAAATGCACTGAATAATTATAGAAAAGAATCTATTTTTATAAGCATCGCTGTTGGTTTTAGTTTTTTGGCTTAGTTATACATGATTAATATATATTGTTGGACATTAAAAAGTGGGTTTCTTTGATTTCGACTTCCTTTTGGTACTTATTAATTTTTCTTTGCGAGTTATTTTATATAGGAAGCTAATAACATTGATATTTTTTCTCTCTTCGTGGGTTTGATATGTACTTTTGATACTTGTATGGTTTATGACACATTTTAGGCTTTTTCTGCAGTTCAAACATTTTATGATGAATGTTGAAGTGGTTTGGTGGGAATTGAAGTTTATTCATGTTGGAGTTCTTTGTTAAATTATTGTAGGACATATGAAAGCCACGTGATACTTGTTAGAGATATGATCTTGAATGTGGAGTAGCCCTAATTTGATTTTTTTCTTCTTCACTGCATATGATTAGCCTAAAGTCAAGTTTGTAGATGAATATAATTGGGACAAGCTAGATAATTAAGTAGTCATTCTTGCTGATTCCTTCATATCATTTCTAAGGTTTTTATTCTTCTCTGTGCTTTGATGTGAGAACTTGCAATAAATTAAAACATGACTTGTAAATCCTTTAGTTAAGCATCATTAAAAATAGGAGTACATTAGATATTCCAAAGTAGATATGCACTTGTTTTTTCTGAAATGTCAACTTGAATTTGGCATGTGGACGTATGATTTCTCATGTATGTATCAACAAAATGCTTGCCTCGTTTAGATTTCACAATGTATCTGTCATGCTATATATGGAGATGAGTCTTAAGTTTAGAAAGCATCTTCTATTGGAGTAAACACGAACTTATTTTGGTCATTTTGCAATTCCATCTAGACATAGACTTGTGGGTATTTCTGATGTGGGTTTTCCTATTTTTGTTTGTGATTTTATGTAGAACTGAATTAGGGACATTAAAGGATGGCAATTTGCTTGTAAACATAGATGAAGCTCATATTGTTTCGCAGAGTGAAGTTGATGTTGTATGATTATTTTCATTTTTTGCTGATTTGTCAAACTTCTGTGGCAACTTTCTTTGCATGCTCTGCGAGAGGTTCACAGACGAACATTTGCAGTTGATGTATCATCCAACCCACTGCCTGCTCCTTTGACAGATGTAGCTTTCTCGCATGCTGCTACATTACTCATTATTGGACACTCAATGGAGAATAGATCGTCAGACTAACTGTCTTTGGTTGAATAACTCTTCCGCTCATTTAACTATGATTACTGACCCTAAATGAGGTTTCAATTTCTGTATATTAAAATTTATGAAGGGGAGCCTGTGTTCTGAAGAATTCCTGGTTATAGTTGGAGAACCATTTGGGTTAGCGTTTACGAAAATTTAAAAGTTGTTCTCTGTTGACCTTTTTTTACCTATTATAGGAAGATTTTTGATATTAAAGCATAATATTCTTGTCTTGTAATAATTTATTTAACTGCTGGAACAAAATAACTTACTGGGATACTGATTCTGATTTTCTTCTCAAGTACTGACACTCACATAGCAAAATGAACGTTCATTCAATTTTTCTTTTCCAACTTACCGAATTATTAATGATGCTGCGTTGATTTGTGAATTCAATAGCACCCCTGATTTATTTAAATACTGTACACGAAATTTGTTCTCTGTTTATCTTACATATTGAAGAAAGGGTGAAGAGCATTTATTCTGAGGATAAGTCTGATCTAATAGGTGGAAGTTGCTAGAATTAATCATCAAATTTTGATAATGGTCCTTGATGTTTTGGTATTGAATCAATCTAGAAAAACACTAACCTTCTTTTTCGTACATTCTCTCTTTTAATTGATCAGCGTGTCCAACATGAATTTCGTATGTATGTACCTCAAGCTGTTATTTATTTATCTATTAACAGGGTAGAATAGCTCTAGAAAGAAGAAGATTTCTGAAAAATGCAAAGATAGCAGTTCAGAGACAGGCCATGTGGTCCAATTTGGCTCATGAAATGATGGCTGAGTTTCGCAGTCTATCTGCTGAAGAGGTAAATAATGATTATGTTATATTGATTGGAGGGCTTGACAATTGAAATATTTCACATTATTTTCTAAGCGTGAGTTTTTTCTTGCATCTACCTGTCTTTCTTGATATTAGGCGTATCTACAACAAGAGCTTGAGAAACTACACGATTTAAAAAACAAAGTGAAGTTGGAAGTAAACAAGTAGTATATACATTATATACAAGATGTATTTTCTCATTAATTTCTTTCTTCAATTCATTTGCTGAATTTTTTTTTTTTTTCTATTTTTCAGAAAATTTGAGCACTTCTGTTTATTATTATTGAGTGGCTTGAATGTCTTTCTTGCTTTCAAGACTTCTTTTAATGAAAATAATATTCACTGAAAAGTATTGAATTCGGATGCTAGGCTGTAGAAAAAACTTAAGTATTACTAGCATGTACTTGCAGTCTTGCACTACTCTGGGTGGTTGTCTCAATTGTCTACTTTGGACAATTAATGTTTCTATACGCTTGATTTATATTTATGGAAGCCCTTTGTGTTCACTTCTTGTGTTTAGTTTCTACCAAGTAAATGCCAACAATCTGGAAAAAAGATGGAGAGAATGGAATCTCATTTTGCAGCATGGGAAAAGCAACAGAAGGAAATTGAACAGACAAAATATTTAATGAAGCTTGAGTGCTGGAG